GTGTGGCCACTCTTGTTGTGAGGTGCGTGTGTTCCAGGGGGGACATAGGACGGGCTGCACCGTGGCCCGAGGTCTTGCTTGCTTCCACCTGCAGGTACGCTTGGTCCTTTCTATGGCCAGGAAGCCCTGCAGGCCGCACTTTTTATGCTTCCAGTAACGAGAGATCCCGGAGTCTTCACGAGAGCAGAGTTGGCACATATTAACTAAAATTATGATTTTGCTACCAGCAATAAATTAAGTAGGCCAAGTGAAACTGGGCTTTAGAAAGGGTGGATTTCAAATACATTGTGCCCACTAGAAGCTTTGAAGGGCCTCATCCCTCTGCTCCATCCCTGGGAGGAGCCCGGATCCTTGTTGGTCTAGCTAAGTACTATTAGGGGAGTCTGCCCCTAGCCCATCATTTGAAGACAGCAGAGTCTCAGTTGGGCACCAGTGATTGGGTTCAGAAATAAAGCTGGTCTGCCTCTTCTCTCGTCTGTCTGTGTTTTTATCTTTTCTACCTTCTGCTCATGCCTGGGTGAGAACATTGCAGCTGTTGCATGGGTGATGATAGGAGTCATTCCATGAAGTCAGAGAAATCACCCTTGTCTCCTCCAGCAGATGGTAAAGGAAGAACTGTCCCCCAAAAAAGGTGCATTTGATCTACCTATAATGTGTGTTGACATCAATAGTTAGTTAGTGAAATTTCCCATTAGACTCCTAATGAAGAACCAAGAACCCAGGCCTCTGTATGGCTTTCTGCACACGGTGGTATGACAGACAGTAACTGGTTCTCAACACCAGACCCCGGGGCCCTGGGTTTCCTTCAGAAGCAGAGGGAGCGGTAGGAGGTGAGCAGGCAGGTTCTGTGGGAGACACAGACGGGGGGAGAATGCCAGGGAGAGGCCAGCAAGGGAGAACCATGGGTGCCCTCCTTTTTCACAAACCTTGTGTGGTTCTCGGCTTCACAGTGATGGGAAGGTCTGGCCCCAAGGATATTTTGACACTGTGAGTATACAGCATTTTAATCAAAATTATATTAAATGAATTTTTGTCATGGGCTTCTCCAGAACAAACTTGAATTAGCCATTTAATTTCCCCAATTTTCCATACAGCCAAATTCAACCATTTTCTCATTGTTTTTATTCCCTTGTTTGTGACCTTGATCACGTCGGGGTCACTACCTGAGACACTGACCACCGCTTGTGGAAGTCTGGCCTGCAGACCCTGACTCGATGGATGAATGAATGCACTCTCACACCATTACAGTGATTCAAGTGGGCTAGGGATGGGTGGGCTGCTTTCAGAGGGGGAAATGCAACCAATCAACAGAGGTTCTAAGTCAACACACTTGTGGATAATTAACATGGTTTAAGTTGGTTTTATGAATGATTAAAGTGCTTTAGATTCTGGGCCCAGAGTAAACACTATTAACGGGCAACTCCCCTTTGATCTCCCCGAGATGACCCCCAGCACTAAGTTTACATGAGTAAACAGTGGAGACAAAGGGATGTGGGGAAAACAGAGTTAAAATGGGAAAGCCTTTGATCGGCTCTTTCCTATGCTAGTGTAAATGAGGCAGCTGCCTTCAGCCTGCCCCAGTAAAACCTTTGGGCCTTCCAAAAGGTTTGAGATTACAATCTATAACTAACTTTTCCTAATATTTAATATTTTGCCAGCCACCTGAGTGAATCTCAACACCTTTTTCTTTCCCCTTTTTTTTTTTTTTGAGACAGGACAGGGTTTCGTCTTACTCAGTTGTCCAGGCTAGAGTCCAATGGCATGAGCATGGCTCACCACAGCCTTCAGCCTTGACTTCCTGGGCTCAGGCGATCCACCTACCTCAGCCTCTCAAGTAGCTGGGATTACAGATGCGCACTACCGCACCAGCTAATTTTTCTATTTTCCGTAGAGATGGGGTTTCACCATGTTGCTCAGGCTGGTCTTGAACTCCTGGGCTCAAGCGATCTGCCCATCTCGGCCTCCCAAAGTGCTGGGATTACAGGCGTGAGCCACCCTACCTGGGCCCCCTTTTCATTTTGTTAATTTATTTTCACAACAGTCAGTTCCTTCCTCAATTGAATAACATTTTCTATCATCTTCTTCCCTCTTTTAATGTTATCCTTTTAGTCATATTTTAGTCACATTTTACTAATTACAGCTTCTGCCATCGTGGGGCTTTTTTTTTCTTTTAATCACCATTATTTTTACCAATTCAGTTTTCTTCATGTTATCCTGAATCAGTTTTATTGTGCATTGAGTTTACTGTGCATTGAGTTTATTGACTGTGCCCAGTTTTCTCTGGTAACTGAGTGACAGCATCCTCAACATGAAAACTTTAGCATCTCAAAGTCCTCTGCTTTGGGCCTTTCTGAAATAAACAGGCTGTGGGCCTCCCTCCCCAGCTGCCCTCAGGACCATCCACGCAGGAGGAATCAGGGCTTCCTTGGAGATTTCTAGCGAGCCTTTAACATTTTGCTAAGGCACCATTCTTCAAGGCTCCCAGCCAACGTGAGGGAAGAAGGTGTCCACGATGTATGTCCCCACCTGTGCTGGGCATGGGACCTCAGTACACCAATGGCTGGGGAGGGGTGATTGTTCGCATTGTTTTTAGGGCTCACTGAACAGCCAAGCACTTGAAAGACTTCTTCTACTAGGACTTCCCAGCCACCCAGTGCAGTGGGAAGATAGCCATCCCCACCTTATAGACGAGGTGCCTGAGTTCCAAGGCAGCGAGGTCAATCACAGTTCTGCCTGGCTACACCACACCTTCTCCCCATTCAGTCCTTACCAGATGAAGAAATGAGTGGCAGCTGGGGCAGACTCCCACCCAGAGCAGAAAGACCACGGGTTCAGGTGCTGCGCCCAAGGAGAAAGTGAAGGATCTCCTGGCTCTTCCTCCTCCCCCGTCCTCCCCCAGGACCCGAGCTGCTTTCCACCAGAGGAGGGAGCTGGGAGGAGAAAATTGAAAAGATGTAGAAATTCTCCAAAATACCATCTATTTGGCTTCCCACAGCCCTTTATTTCCAACAGGTGAGATTAAAGCCGTGCCAAAATGAATGAAAAGAGTGCCACTCCATCCCACAACCCAGAGAGAAGTTTGCTTCAAAGATCTTGTCTGCTTTCCCACTAGTCCTGCTCGGTTGGAAAACGCTCCACACTTCTGAACACATGTAGGAAAAAGTGATTGCTATTACTAAAGACATGAACATTTCCAAATAACAAAATCACATGTGGCAAAACTTCTGAGCATTTCTGTTGTTTGGGGCCATTCCTGTAAACCAAGTCTGTTTGCCCCTTATTGCTGCATCTCACCACAGCCGCCAAACTTCCCAGCCCACTTAAGACACAGGCAGGCTGAGTGCTGTGGCTCCTGCCTGCAATCCCAACACTTTGGGAGGCTGAGGCAGGAGGACTCCTTGAGCCAGGAGTTTGAGACCAGCCTGGGCAACACAGGGAGACCCTGTCTCTACCAAAAAAATAAAAATTATCGAGGCAGCAGTGAGCCAAGATCATGTTACTGCACTCCAGCCTGGGTGAGAGGGCAAGACCCTATCTCAAAACAAAAACAAAAACAAAACAGTCTGCGTATGGACTTGGGGGCCCCTGAAAATATTTAGCAGAGCCATCCTTCAAAGCTGCTGGAATGGGGAAGACTAGGGACGGCCAAGGACAGGTCTCTAAGTTGAGGCCACAGGGTGGCCCAAGGCCCTGGACATCAGGGCAGCTGCCTCTACAGTGGGCATAATTCAAGGCAGTAGCTGCCGAGCTGAGTGGGCTCCTGTAAGAAGAGAAGTGCCCGTCTTCTCATCAGCCTGAAGATTTGCATCTCTTCAGCCCCGCCCAGTCTCTGGCAGGAAGCCCACTCCCCAGCCGACACTGCGCATGCTCATGGAGGAAGCTGTGCAGCACAGCTCAATGCTGTTTTCCCCTTTTGGTTTTCTAGAATAGTCTTGCAGAA